TTTATTCTCTTGTCTACACTAAAAGGTTATATATACAAGAGTCAAATGGTTTTATTATGCTTTTGTCAATGTTATATGTACAAAAACCGAATGGTTTTATTATGATCTTTTCCACACTAAAGGGTTAATGTTGTAGGCTTTATGTTTTGAGATATTTGTACACATGTCCCTGATGTTACATTTCTCTTAGAAATTGAAATATTGCCCAAAAACTATTGTAGGGAACATATACCCACGACCTTCTAGAGGATCTACTTGGTCATGGAATATTTGCAGTTGATGGGGAGAAATGGAGAGAACAAAGGAAGACATCGAGTCATGAATTCTCTACAAAAGTCTTGAGAAATTTTAGCAGTGTGATTTTCAGGAAGAATGCCATAAAACTTGGAAACATATTGATAGAAGCAGCAGAGAACAACCATAAAATCGATATATATGTAAGCTTCTCGTTTGGTCATTAATATTCAATTCACCAACTAGATACCCATTGATTATATATATTCATGATACACGTTTACATAGGATTTGTTCATGAAAGCAACTCTAGATTCAATATTTAAAGTTTCTTTTGGAATTGATCTTGACAACATATGGGGTTCAAGCAAACAAGCTGTAAGATTCAGTCGTGCATTTGATGACGCAAACACGTTGACAAGTCGAAGATTTTTTGACATGTCTTGGAAGATCAAGAAGTATTTTAATATTGGGTCCGAAGCAGAATTAAAGAAAAATATGAAAGTTGTTGATGAGTTTGTTTATAACTTGATCCAGATCAAGACTGAACAAATGCATAACATAACCGACTTTTTGGTAAGCTTATATTTTTGTTCTCTGATTAAAATAATAAGACTATCTTCATCATTGTGAAGAATTTTTCAACATATCATATAAAATATGGTTACTGCTATAAAGTTTTAAGGATCTGCCGTACTTTAGGTTTAGGGGATATCATTTTTACATATTTTTCCTTGATGGTTTCTTAAACTTTCTTTGGAAGTTTCCGTTTTTCATAAACCTCAATTATGTCCCCATTTTCTAGCCTTAAGAAACTTTTTTTTAGAACCATTTTGGAAAATTCATTGAAACTTTCTAATGTGATAATAGTACTAAGTACAACAATCACTCATTTGCTCAGTTTTATTATACTAATGGCATGAATTCCATTTTTCTTGTCCATACACCTCTCCCCGGAAGTGGTAAATCCGAACGGACTATAAGAGTCCTCAAGAAACGTCATCCATAATTAATCCTCCCATTCTCATGTGCCTGCCAATTTTTGGAACCATGCCTTATAAATGTCCATCTTCCTTATTCATATCATATCCTCCAAACTTCTCACTGAAATTACTGATACATATACATTAAAAATGAAATCCATCTTATGAAATCAATGATGCCTATGTCACCCCCTCTTTCCATAAACTATAATCAGCAAGTTACAATTTTGAATAAAGTGTGATTTTTTGGTGATGAGAAATCATAAAAACTTGGAATAGATTGTAATGAAAAATTAGCCATGTGTTTAAAACTATGACAAATAGGCATAGTCTTAAGTATTGATCTCAAATCATTAACAATTCACCAACTAGATGAAATGAATCTTTATTCATCTATCACCATGTTCGTTATGTTGCATATTTGTTACTTTAAGTGGAAGACATTATCCTCATTACATTGTCCCATACACCCCAACAATATTTAGTCGTGGTAATTACATTTGAATTCTTCATGGATGATCTTGGCTTGCTCAACTTCTATTTAGGCATCTCAGTTACACCTAAGCCTCATAGACTTTTTCTTAGTAAGGCCCATTATGCCAAGGATAACATTGGGTAGACTGACATGCCCTCATAAAACCATTTCAAACTTCGGTTGATACAACCTCTAACTTTGGTTCAAGCAATGGTATCCTTATGACGAATTCATCACAATGTAGAAGCCTCTTCGGGGAACTTTCAATACATCACCTCTACTCGCCATGACAACATTTATTCTTGTCAAACATGTATGATTACACATATATGATCCATGCACCAATCACTCTAATGCTTTAAAACAAATTATTTGGTATTTTCAAGACACAATCGCTTTTGGATTATATCTCAACAAATATATATCCACTAAAATTGTTTTTTACAACGATGCCAACTAAAGTGAGTATCTGGATACCCGAAAATCGACTTCCGGGTACTATGCATTTTTAATGACAATCTTATCTCATAGTCATCCAAAACACAACTGACACTATCATGCCTCATCGTAGAAGCTAAATGTTGAGGCTTTGCAAATATTGTCTTCGAGTCTTAATTGTAAAGTAATATGATTCTTGAACTTCATTCACTACTCACAATAACAACCATAATTTTTAATAACAATTTTAGTGCAATTTCTATCTATATAAACACTTTTCAACATCAACTCATGAAAAACATTTAAATGGATAACTAGTTTGTCCAGGATAATATTTCTCGCGATGACGTGTGAGTACATCCTATGTTCTCCCATTTTCAGATTGCAAACATCTTCACCAAAGGAGTTCCTCATCTTCTATTTGATGATATTTGAGACATCCTTAGCATCCGAGCACCCCCCCTAAGACTTTAAAGGACCATTAATTTTATATTTTTCATAGTTTTCATTATATATATATATATATATATATATATATATATGTGTGTGTGTGTGTGTGTGGTGTGTATATATATATATATATATATATATCTATATATATATATATATATATCTATATTATAATGACAACTAGAATTACTATATCACATATATACACCTGACATTAATGAAAGAAGGCAAGGAATTAAATTAAAATAATTATGTTAACACCCATTGAGAAATACCCTAAGATTATACATGTATAATTTTACTACTCATCTAATTTCAATTATTTCATCTTGCTTTTGATTTACAGAAGACCGAATCGGGGAATGAAGACATCCTATCGAGGTTTTTGCAGTCGAAATATAAAGACCCAAAGTACCTACGAGATATAATACTTAACTATGTACTTGCTGGTAAAGATCCTATAGGGATTACTATGTCTTGGTTTATTTACTTGCTTTGCAAACATCCAGAAATTCAAGAGAAGGTTGCTAAGGATATCAAAGAAGCAACCAAAATGAAAAAGGAAATAAAAAATGTTGTAGATTTTGCGGCTTATGTGAGTGAGGGTGCACTAAACAAAATGCAATATCTTCATGCAGCTTTAACAGAAACTATCAGACTCTATCCTGCTTTGCCATTGGTATGGGATGTTTTTCAACACATGTTTAAATTATCATATTTTGAGTTCTAATCAGTACAAGCCTTCAGAACCAGTATCTTAATTTGTCATGTGTTGAGTTGTGAAACAATATTTTTCTTGCAAGAAAAAATAATATCATAAACCAATTATAGAGGCACTTTATTTTTTATGTTAAAGGTTGTACAGCCACACACGACGCTGTCAGGCTGAATATGTCTATCCATGTATCGTCATTTTATTTATTTAAGTTTGTATTTGTTAATGAAATCGATATTTTATACCAACTCGTTGGTAGGTAAAATGACATTGACATTATTATAATTTTTATATAGGACCCAAAGATATGCTTTTCAGACGATGTTCTGCCTGATGGTTATCATGTGAAGAAAGGGGATGTAGTAGCGTATTTGCCATATGCAATGGGAAGGATGGAATTCATATGGGGAGATGATGCAAATGAGTATAAACCAAAAAGATGGCTTGATGAAAATGGCCATTTCCATCCAGAGAACCCCTTTAAATTTACAGCTTTTCAGGTTAGTGTAATTTCAAAGTATAAAAGGTCTAACCTTTTAATTAAGAAAATATATCCACGAAAAAAAAAATATATTAATTCTATTTCATAATTACTTCTCTCTTTATCTTGCATACACAACACACACACAAAAAAAAACTATTCCTAACTATATATAAAAGAGTGTGACGGAAAACCCAAAGTATATATATATATATATATATATATATATATATATATATATATATATATATATATTCCATTATGGGAAAATATCCTTCAATATGATATATGAATTTTTTTTATCTATCTCTCTACCCCTCTCTCTTTTCCTATTTCGTACTTCCTTTTTTATACCTTGTTTGTTTCTCAATAGACACTATGTCTCATTATGGGAAAATATCCTTCGTTATGATATCATAACTAATATCATTCAGTTAGTACTATCATGGAGTTTTCTTCCACAAACATTTCTTCAACCTAGATATCGTATTTGGTTTTCTAGTTATCCGAAAGCCTTCTATTTGTTCCATGGAGATATCTTCGTCAATGACTCAATACAATATAGTTTATTTATGTCTATTAGCTCCTTAGGTAAACAATATGCGTCTATAATACCTAGAACCTATATAATTATGGTTGTCCTTAAAATTGGAGAGAATATCTTGTTATAGTAAAATCTCATCTTCTCTTGACACCATTTGACTACAAATATGGCCTTGCAGTTCTTATTTCCATATATTTCACCTTTTACCCTAGATAACTACTTGTTTTGTAGCTCTTTCATCCCGAATGGTAAATTGAAAAATGACTAATTTTGATTCTTGTCAAATAAGCACAACTCACCCTTCATTGTGTTCTTCCACTATACGAACTCTTTTATCCTCAAAGTATTTAGATAATATTTTGAATCACTATTCTCTTTCATAAACACTTAATCATAAAATAGAATATTGTAACATCCCAAAATTCAAGGCCAAAAATTTCGTTTTAATTAAGTAATTACATAAAACCATCAGTATAAAAACATTCATAATAATATCTCGTGTCAAACCAAAGTGTCAGTAATCAAAACATGTTATCATAAAACAATATCAGAGTGTAATCCTAAAGATCTCATGTGCGGAAAACCATAGTGTGATGTGCTGCGATCGAGCCGGCTCCATTCCTTTAAAAACGAAGTACCTGAAACCAAAACTGAAAACCGTAAACACGAAGCTTAGTGAGTTCCCCCATCATACCACATACCATACAATCACATATTGCCAGGCATATCTGGGTGCCCGACCTACCCTGCTGAGCATACCGGGGTGCTCAACCTACCCCACTGTCGGACATATCTGGGTGCCCGACCTACCCCTTCGGTATATTTCAACCGGTAACCAGGAGCCTGCCTCCCCTTCGGTATCTTTCAACCGGTAACCGGGGACTATTTCACCCCTACCACTACCACATAAAAGCATAGAATAAACACATAAATCACATACTGCCTAGCATATCTGGGTGCTGGCCTACCCCTTCGGTCATGTCGACCGGTAACCAGGGACTATTTCACCCCCTACTACTACCACATAATATCATATCATACTAACACATAAACATCACAAGTAGTAGCAAACATAGACAATTATCACAAAGACAATTATCTAACAACTCCTACTGGTGGGCCGGCATTGTGGCCGTAGACCCATCGCTACTGGAACACCTCACACTGCTGAAGTCCCGTAGACACAACTCCACACTGCTGAAGTCCCGCAGACTCAACCCCAGCTGCTGGATGACAGATTATCGAACTGTCAACATCAAAATAACACCTAATTAATAATTGGGTTCCAACACATAGCCATATGTACATACTTGGGGTAATTAATACTTTACACCTAACTTAGCTTTATTCAAGCCCAAGGCCCAATCCAAAGGCCCAAAAGTCAACTATGAGTCAAAGCCCAACATGTGGCCAAATTTTCCAAATTGGGCCCAAGCCTATATATGGTCTTATACTAAGGCCCAACATCATATAATCATTAAGGCCCAATCTGTGGCCCATCTATGGCCCAATTCTCCAAATTGGGCCTAAACCCCTTACATGGGCCTTACCCAAGGCCCCTTAAATCATTCTAGTCCTTATGATTATTCTTGGATAGCCCATTAATAATCTAATCAAGGCCCAATCGAAAGGCCCAATAATAAACCCAAGTGAAATTAGGGTTTCACATAAAATGAAGATTAGGGTTAAGTATTTTCTCACTTAATCCATTAAGGACTTAACCTACTAAGGACTTAATCCACTAAGGACTTAATCCATTAAGTCCAATATTGCTTAGATTAATTTCTACCAATGATTATTATTTAATATTTCAAGTTAATTCTCGTGTGTCCCGATTAATTCACCGTAAACCACGAAATCATCTACACCCTCGAAGGCCGCCTGCTGCTCAGGCCCCCAGCGAAGGCCACCGACTTCTTGGTCAGTCGGGTCAAAGGAACCGCAATCTCGGAGAAGTCCCGTATAAATCTCCGGTACTAACTCGCTAGACCCAGGAAACTCCGAATCTCAGATGGAGACCTTGGAATCTCCCACTGCATCACTGCCTCTATCTTGATCGGATCGCCCATAATACCCCTTCTCATTGACTAGGTGGCCAAGAAATTGCATCTCGCTCAACCAGAACTCACATTTGGAGAACTTTATGAAAAGTCTCTCCCCCACTTAGATTCAACTAAGTCTTCACGACACGTGACAATTGAAGGATTCCCAATCCTTCTCGCTTTCTAGTATCCCACTGATAACAACCTGTGCATACCAATGCTAGCGATTAATCACCGGTTAAACCTTAAGATCGCCCATCCTCGGAAATCTTGATGAGTGCTCTTGTAATTTGGTCTAGTCTGACACCTCAATCCACCTCCCATGCTGACAACTAGAGGCCTTAATCTTCACTCTGGCTGACGAGTCCTCGTTCCCACTCCCAATCTTGCGGCACCACTGCACTGTAACCGAACATAGCCCATGCGGAAATACAATTCTCTTGAACATCCAATGACCAACCACTTATGCATCTAACACCTGAAACTAACACTACTCTCTTCATGTTACCAGTTCTATCCTAGCAACGGTAGTGCCTTGAACTCCAAAGTTCATCCATAGACAATTGTCGACCACGCCTGAACAATGATAGAACCCCTGAACGCTGACTTCACTGGAGAACTATCACTCTAACCCCGACCGAGGATCTTCCAAACAATACTCCCGCACAGATCTCGACAAAGACCCAGAATGATAACGGTACACACGGAACCCGCTCCGCAAGGTACGTCCCTCTGTGGGTTCATCAAGGACCTTTCAGTATGAAGGATGGCATATGTGATCCTTGATAACCCAAACATTAGCAAAAAACCGACCCGAGATCTGACTTATCCAAACTCACTCACAATTCCAAAGCGATACGTATTCCCAACATCCACCCAATAGCAGTAGAAGATGACATACCCGAAACATCTAGAGGAATACAGATCACCTTCAGCTGTCATGATCAACCCTGCCACACCTGTAGCAGCCTAAACCTTGGAGTGATAAACTCCCTTGTGCACTTTCTTGTACGTGCTGCACTGACTTCGGCCCTGCTGGCCTTTCACCTGATGATCATAAGTCATGGGTCTCTTCCCGGGACCCTCTACTATACGCACCTGGCACAACCCTTTCTTTCCAGGGTGCTCCAAATCGATCTCGCATCCTCAGACTTAAAAGTCATATCCTCCAGGGCCTGACACCCTGTCATGCTCACTAGTTTACTTGCCACTGGCTAAGCTGCAACAACTGGAACATCCTCTGTCCCCAAACTGGGTCACAAACTCTTCCCTAAAGCTTCTCAGATTCTCCAAGACTCTCACCGATTTGAGTATGGATCCTGTGCTTTCAGTAGTACGAGCCCAATACTACCTTCCACACCTATCCATACTTTCCTCAGCAATCCTCTCGAATCCTCCAAGTCACTTCCTTAAACTTGTACGCCCAAGTCTCACTGAACCTCACTACTAACCCACCGAACCGTATCCTAGGCTTCCCTAGGTTCCCGTACCCACCCAGTCCTCAGCTGCTGAAAGATTCCCAGTAATGTCAACTAGCAACCTCATGAATATAGCCACATGTAACAGAGATCAGATAATCCTTCGAGTAATTGACCCATCCCTAGAACGGTTTGGACTCAGACAAGAGCTGCGCAATAGGGTCAGATCTATCACTCTGAGATTATCCAGCCTGTGCCACATGTGACTTAGCATATCACTTAATAGCTAACTCACATTACTAAGAGTCTTACAAAGCACAAACCAAACAGCATTCAGACAATGGAAAATCTAACCATCATATTCCAATCAAATTATTCTATCCTGTAATCAGGAATCTGTACATGCAGTTCAAAGGCTCGTACAATCAGACATAACCTAAACAGGCTATCCTATCACTGACTGATCAGTACTAGCATGCAAGTCTACAAGCACATACAATAGGCATATAAGGCATCCTCCCTAGATCCTTAGCCCTAATCTAGCATGCAGTTCTCATAATCATATCATATCATAACATATCACAACATGTATGGGTATCTTGGGAAAACTTACTTGAGCTCGGCTGATTGCACGCATCACACACCTTGTTCTTTTCAAAGTTTTGTTCTCTTTTCAAACTACTTTTTATAAAAGGGTTTTACTTTTGAAAATTTCATACCAAGTCCTTAGTTTGAGTTCAGACACACCCAGGAGTGTGCCCGAATCCCTCAAACCAAGGCTCTGATACCAACTTGTAACATCCCAAAATTCAAGGCCAAAAATTTCATTTTAATTAAGTAATTACATAAAACCATCAGTATAAAAACATTCATAATAATATCTCGTGTCAAACCAAAGTGTCAGTAATCAAAACATTTTATCATAAAACAATATCAGAGTGTAATCCCAAAGATCTCATGTGCGGAAAACCATAGTGTGATGCGCTGCGATCGAGCCGGCTCCTTTCCTTTAAAAACGAAGTACCTGAAACCAAAACTGAAAACCGTAAGCACGAAGCTTAGTGAGTTCCCCCATCATACCACATACCATACAATCACATATTGCCAGGCATATCTGGGTGCCCGACCTACCCTGCTGAGCATACCGGGGTGCTCAACCTACCCCATTGTCAGACATATCTGGGTGCCCGACCTACCCCTTCGGTATCTTTCAACCGGTAACCAGGAGCCTGCCTCCCCTTCGGTATCTTTCAACCGGTAACCGGGGACTATTTCACCCCTACCACTACCACATAAAAGCATAGAATAAACACATAAATCACATACTGCCTAGCATATCTGGGTGCTGGCCTACCCCTTCGGTCCTGTCGATCGGTAACTGGGGACTATTTCACCCCTACTACTACCACATAATATCATATCATAGTATCACATAAACATAACAGGTAGTAGCAAACATAGACAATTATCACAAAGACAATCATCTAACAACTCCTACTAGTGGGCCGACATTGTGGCCGTAGACCCACCGCTACTGGAAGGTAACTCACCTCACACTGCTGAAGTCCCGTAGACACAACTCCACACTGCTGAAGTCCCGCAGACTCAACCCCAGCTGCTGGATGACAGATTCTCGAACGGTGAACATCAAAATAACACCTAATTAATAATTGTGTTCCAACACATAGCCATATGTACATACTTGGGGTAATTAATACTTTACCCCTAACTTAGCTTTATTCAAGCCCAAGGCCCAATCCAAAGGCCCAAAAGTCAACTATGAGTCAAAGCCCAACATGTGGCCCAATTTTCCAAATTGGGCCCAAGCCTATATATGGTCTTATACTAAGGCCCAACATCATATAATCATTAAGGCCCAATCTGTGGCCCATCTATGGCCCAATTTTCCAAATTGGGCCCAAACCCCTTACATGGGCCTTACCCAAGTCCCCTTAAATTATTCTAGTCCTTATGATTATTCTTGGATGGCCCATTAATAATCCAATCAAGGCCCAATCGAAAGGCCCAATAATAAACCCAAGTGAAATTAGGATTTCACATAAAATGACGATTAGGGTTAAGTGTTTTCTCACTTAATCCATTAAGGACTTAACCCACTAAGGACTTAATCCACTAAGGACTTAATCCATTAAGTCCAATATTGCTTAGATTAATTTCTGCCAATGATTATTATTTAATATTTCAAGTTAATTCTCGTGTGTCCCGATTAATTCCCCAAATTAGGGTTTCATTGCATTAGGGTTCCTTTTTCATTATTCTAATTTATGATTACATTTTACAAACTCTAATCCCAAAATAAACACACTAAACAAACTAATCACACACACACACACAGACACCTTGTGGTGGCCGGCGGTGGCGCATGGCGGCAGCCACCACCTCACGGTGGTGGCGGTGGCCTTTTCTTGCTTTTCCGGCCATCATACACCACATACAACACTCTATCGGAAAATAACATGCTCATAACACCAAAATATGCATCTTCATTGCTAACAACGCACGAATCTCGGGCAGCCCCCGTGGCGGCGTGAGGCAGTTGGACGGAAGACGGCGGAGACCCACGAAGGCGGCAACAACGATACAAGCGTCCACAACGGCGACGCCAATAACCGGGGAGGCTGCCAGCCGCAACAGATTAACAACCGGCGACAGGTTGGTCTTCAACGAGAACAGCAGCGACGCGACGTCGGAAAATCGAATACCGTCGCGGTAAGGCTACGGTGGTCGGAGAAACGCCGACGACCATCGTGAGGCTTGTGTGCGACTGGCGGTAGAAGGCAGAAGAAGAAGAAGAAAGGTGCAGCGGAGTGGCGGAGATCGTCGGTTCCGACTTCATCAACGACTGCCCAAGGCAGCAGTAGCGACTACAGCGGCGGCTCGGTGGTTCACGCTACCGGTTCTTGTTCCCGGCATTGGTGGTCGGAGGTAGCAGCGGCGCCGGAGATCGAAGAGGTAAATGGTGGCGGGTGGAGAGAGGTATAAGGGGGGTGACGGCTGGAAAGGGTTTCCCTAGGGTTAGGGTTACATGGAGGCTTTTATACCCGACTCCTTCATAAGTTTTCCATAATGGCAAGATAGGGCCCTCCCATCCGAGTTCCTTTCAATATTAGGCCATAATTTACAAAGCAGCCCCCCAGCATCCAAAATTCTTTCACAATCAGTCCATAAGTTACCATTTGAACCCCACCATCTAAAACCCTTTACAAATTAGGTCCGAATGATCAAACTTCAGCCATGTTAACATTTTTAGTCCCTCCTCCTCATCTTTTCAACTTAAGTTCCAATAATTACCATGGAGCCCTTGACTTCAAAAATTCTTTGTAACTAATCCGAAAATTATATTTTTAACCCGCTAAACTTTCAATTATTTATTTTAGGGCTATTATTCGTTCATTAATTTATTTATTTATCTAATAAATAAACGAGGTGTTACAAATATTTGACTAATATCTTCTTTTTCTACTACATCTTATGGTGGTGGGAGTTTTGGTCTCTACCTTATTTGGTGCTTCACTGTCTAAACACCCAATATCCTTTGTGATCCATGTATATGTAGATCCTTCACAATCACCTACTAGTTCATGAACTTCCCTTCCTAGGGTGTTTGTCCCGTTTTCACAAATCTAACCTTCTTTTGTTTGTCATGAACACATGGCTCACAAAAGGTTAACTTCCTTACTCTTGAAATATGGAATTTCCCCTTTGAAGGTAGCATATTCATTTCTTTCTCATTCATATGCCCAAGTCTTTGGTTCGTAGAGTATATTGTGTCGCCTATTCAATAATGATATTTTCTACATCTATGGAAATTCAGCTATATATAATGTTTCTTGTTTATGTCCATGAGTAACCACTAGGTTTTTCTTCGTTACCATCTACTATTAGTCACTAAAATCAACATTATGCACATTATCATGCAAGTACTCTACTGATATCAAAATAATCTTTACGACTTGAATATATGTGGCATTCTTCATTGTCTAATTCGTACCTAGATTAGTGTAAAAGAATATATCCCCAACATTTGTCACATAAATGTGCTTGTTATACACTAGCCTCACCTTCCCATTATAAAGCCTGAAATTATACATCACTACTCTTCAATGGATAGCATGAAACGAAGCATGCAAATTCATAATTTCAGATTCAATCAAGCTTTCTACACTAAAAAATTAAAGGATCCTCATAATTTGCTGCGATATTCATCTCCCCCTCGCCTTTATCTATAGAAGTTTTGGCATTGGTTTTTAAAGTAACTATTCTCTATACAATTCCAAAATGCAATATACTTCTTATTGTTAGACCGACCTCTCTTCATTATCTTTTCTCTTCCTCTACCATTAACCCCTTTATTGGATTTTAATTCCTTAGTCCTCTGTACTTAATGGATTATTAGCAGACGACCTGAATTCTTTATACGAATATACTCACCAAGGATTAAATTGAAAATTTCTTCAAAAGTAGTCTTAATAGTTCAAACTGAAACTCAATTGATATTAACATATATAGGAACACATTATATTTATTTACATGATTTGTAACTGATTGACCTTCCTCGCCTTTATATTTATCAATTGTTGAACCAAGAAAATGATATTCACAACCTAGCGCTTTTTGTACATATTTGATAACACATTGATCAGTCCAAACGTTGTCTTTCGTTCATAATGTTATACACAACATTGTTCTCTAATGACAACCTAAGAACACCAAGATCCTATAGATAAAAAACAGGTTCCAATCCTCCTTCTTCATCGTTTCATGTTTGTTTTTGCACAAGGGTTTATATAACTTCTTCTAATAGATATAATCTCCGGTCTACATATGCCAAATCCCAACATTGTGAAATTAAAATATATTGATCTTTAACTTTTCATCGCCGGTCATAGCACTAATAAAATTGTTAAGATCAAGAATCGATAAACGCACAAATCACACGATAAATAAGTGAAAAAAACCAACAACACAAGGAAATTACATCGTTCACAGAATCAAGATGATCGACTAATCCACAAACGCAGTAGAAAGATATTTTATTAGATTTATAGGAAATACACAACCGTCATACATACATTAAGATTAGGGTTATAGATGTAGATGTAGATTTTATGTATAATGACAACTTGAACTAGAAACTACTTGTATGTCAGTTTCAACAAACCATAGATACTAATATTTGAATAAGCTTTCTGGATACACACCATAAACTATAGTTGAGTACCACATACCTTCCACTAGAGCATTACATACTATATGTTAGATATTTTAATGAGCGCTGTAGACCTTGGATTAGGCACCACGTACCTTGTGTCGAGGCAATACCTTGTGTGAATGGCCCCTTTTGTATCTCTCCAATTATTTTCATATGTATTCATTCAAACAAAAATTATTCCAATCGATCTTGTCTAATATGTTCTTAAAATAAGAAGAGAATAATTTTGAATCTCATCATTACATTATGCCATTGAATTGTAGATAAGAAATTACAAATATTAATATAAACAAGATATGTTTATTATAGTAAAGTTACATCACACATCACATGTCTTTTCTTTTATTTTTTCATGTTATTTGAAAATGCAAAATTCTCTTGTTTTGATCCCAAGTATGAACATCTCTTGTAATGTAGTACTTTTTTAAAAAGTTTGTATTTAGTACATGTGATGTACATTTTCATTGTATAATTAATCCTCATATAATATTTTTTCATATTTTTCATGCACAGGCTGGACCACGGACTTGTTTGGGTCGAGATTTCGCATATATGCAGATGAAAATATTTTCTTCTATCTTGTTAGGTTGCTTTGTGTTCAAGTTAAGTGACGTAAAATGGATACCAAGGTACAGAACCTCAATCAATCTTCACATCGATGGTCCATTGGATATTCGTGTTTTCAAGAGATTTGGTTTAAACAATTGTGAAATTTAAGATGTAACTTTTTGCATATAGGATGCTTATACATTTGATCTTATAAAACACATACGTTAAAAATAAAAATGTAATAAGCTTTATTAAAAATATATGTAATTGTATATTAAATGGGAATGTAACGATGTTGTTAATAAAGATTTGCACAAGTCTTGTGAATAATGGTGTTGCTTTTGAAACGGTAGAAGGACCGACATAAGCGTAACCGAATACGAAGGGTTGAGATTTCTGACCATTGAACCCGCTAACGCGTTTATTTCATGGGTTGGGTTGGGTTACATGTTTGGGTTTGCGGGTCAACCCACCAACCCGACAGTATATATTATATTTATAAAAATTAAATTTTATTTAAGAATACAATTAATTGTTTATAAAATAACATTTAGTATTTTTTTCCAATTGATGCAACAATGTCATTTTTTTTATAGAATATAAGAAATGATGTTTTATAATATGAATCAAATTATACAACCGGTTGTATACATTTAAATAGGTTATGTGCATTGGTTGGGTTGATGTTTACAATCTGCAAACTCATGACTCGTTAATACGCCAACCCATATATTATATGAGTTGGGTTGGACCAATTATTCTGACATGCCAACTCATCAACTCGTGACCCGCGGTTCCAAACCCAAAATATGTCCTAAAACAAAAGACTTTTTACTAGAAGTTAATGAGAGAAAGATCCATTGCTTAGGTATGGATTTCCCACATATTATTTTAGGTTTTAGATAAATTTTATGACCGACTCGCTGCGAATGATTATGTGCGGCTAATCCGTCAAAACTTTTTACATGATATCACAAAAGAATTTTTTTTAGAAAGTAAATTATATGATAACGATTTGTGGTTGATACAATAAACTTAGTGATCCATTACACACAATTGAATTCTTTTAGTTTTTTGTTGTGTTAGATTGCATGTTATATATATATATATATATATATATATATATATATATATATATATATATATATATATATATATATAATATATATAACATGCAATCTAACACAACAAAAAACTAAAAGAATTCAATTGTGTGTAATGGATCACTAAGTTTATATATATATATATATATATATATATATATATATATATATATATATATATATATATATATATTAGCCGTTTACCCGCGCACAACGGCGGGGACAAATAGCTTCTTTCGGCGATAATTTTTTTTTAAATATTATGTTCCAAAAGAAAATACAATAGAATCCAACTTTTGCATCATTTGTGACATGATACATCAAATAACCGACAAAAATGAACCGGTCAAAGTGGCACATAATATGAAATGTTTAAGCCGTTCAGAAAAATTTAATGGAATTATATAATAATACACATAATATGGAAATATGTAAAAACACATAACTGCTAATACATTATTAATATCGCAACGTAAGGTGATTGGGGTTGGATTAATCGATTGTGGTTGCTAATACATTATTATTTTCGGGTTTCGACAATTAGTTTCTTTTCTGTAGCTATTATTGGTAGTTAGTCGGTCGACAGGGTTAGACTAACCGATCTAGACGATGATAATTGTGGTATAAAAAAGTTTATTAAAAAATATATATTTGGACTATTTTTATTATTCTGTTAACTTTGACCGATTAACGACCGTCACCCAATCAATGACCGTCAAGCAAAATTATTGACCGACTTTTACAGATATTGATCATCCGCGACCAAAACAATTGGGTAAAGCTTGTTTGAAAAAAATATGTTTTAACCGTTTTTCGATATCTTTCTCAACTTGATTTCAATGACGGAACCTAATGAAAATTTCATGATTGATTAGAAAACGGCCTAATAAGCCATATAAAAAGCTCGCCATGACATAAGTTGTTTTTGTCTATTAGGTAGGGTTTCAAAACCGTTTTTTATATTTTTAATATGTACAAATTTAAGGGTTCAAAACTGCTTAGGATTAAAAATGGACCCACCGACAACTAACTTATGAATACGATATTGGTGGGTTTTCGCTTTTACAATTGTATTTTCTTCTTTAAACAAATATTTTGGTTATATTGTAAATGTTATACGTAGAGTCTTACATCTAAATTAGTAAACTAAATAACCTCAAGAAAAGTATATTAATATGATATTATCTTATTTATTAAGAAGTTGAAAATGATATTATCTTTACATTAATATTCAACATAAACAAAGATATCCTTATTAAGGAAAACGTTAACAAAGACAATATTAACAAATAAGGATTTGAAGTAAAATTCCAATATCTTTTAGCAGCGTTTGAGAGATTTAGCAGCCACTTAAACTAAGGTTTTTATGGTAAAAGAAGGAAATAAACAATCAAACACTATGCTTTTACACTCTACACATTCATGGGTTGGGTTCCTACATTGGGTTTTGGCACAAACTGTTGCACCTCATCGTGATCTGAATGAAACAAACGCATAGGAAACCAAATAATAATGTTACCAGGATCATCTTTTTAATGGTTATACCCTTTAAGAAAATGCCCCAAATCTTTTGATACCTTTATGAAATTCAATATATAAATAAAAAACCAAGTAATATTGTTACTGTATTGTAGCAGTTGAAAGGTTATATTGTATTCTTGACATAAGACCTTTATCATGCCAAACCCATTGTTAATAACCTTAAAAATTTTCAAAGAGATTCAAAATCTCTGATTTTCGTGAAAGAATAAGAATGATGACAGGTGACATAATTTAACCTTAGCCAAGGGAGCCAAACAATGGTTTTGCTTATAGCATTTGTAATCGGGATACCATTGTTGCTACTTTCATTCATATGATAAATACATTTAGACACAGTGAACGATGCAAATTCGTTTACTGCAAAAAAGACTCCCTCAATGACATAACCCCTCCCCTCTTTTCCGTCTCTCTACCCGCACCACCTCCACATACATAATGAGTTCTTGCAAAATCAATTTTTGCTGAAACTAAGGTTTGCTCATAGTTGAACCACCTCTTTATGCTTCCCCAACTTTAATACGTAAGGGAAAATCAGTCAATTTCAATCATTAAATTAACTAACCAAGATTAAAACAAGTTCGTAGTTAGAAGAAGGGCAATTTTCAGAATAGTGTGAATAAAGTATGTTGTAAGTTACATGTGTCTTTTCCAGGTCATCTGCAACTTCAATTGTAATTCTACTATCCAAGGAACATTTTCTCCAAAATCCAAGCATTTGTTATAGTAAAACAATGCATCATCTACCTCTCCTATAAGTAAATGACAGATGAAAATAGGGTAGAAAGAAGAATTAGATGATGATTTCCCCTATTTAATATGAAAGATATGTAAGATCTTACCGGAATATGGGCGTTTGGTGTTCGTGGTCATGGGACAGGGGAGGTATGGGAGTTTCCTATTCAATCTTCTTCAATTCAGCATATGCAAATGGTAATAGTCAACCAAAAATAAGGTATTATAAGTTGTGAACTTGATAATATGGTTAACTATGGAAAGGGGGAGCACTTACCAAAAATCAGGACATTCCACCCACCTTTGGATCTTACTATAACTTTAGAAATGAAAAACATTTGTGTATGTTCTTTTCCATTCTTTTAACCATTGAACATAGCATACAAGGAAGACCATCTCCAACCCCTCCCAAATACACTGAAAAATAAAATATACATATCATGATATCTAGATATCTAAATAAAAAGAGAATACCTTTCTGGTTCTTATTCACCGTCCTTGCTCAACCATTTCTGGTAGGAATCTCGCCCTCAAAGGAACCTTAGTCAGAATTTCTTTTGACTCTGTTCTATCCAGCACAACAATTTGTTCTTGATAATATAAATGGCATAAGCATTGATTAACTATTGTCGTATATGACCGGAGTTTCAGTACGAATTTAATATGTGTATATTTGATTGCTTGAAAATCATAATTACAATCTATAAAAACTACCAAATATACGTACCTTTTCTTCATGTTCAACAACATATCACCATAACCTCGACAATTGATCAGGGGAGTGCTCTCTATCAAGCAGAAAAAACAAAATCTACAAAATTCTTGACCTACGGAGAAGAGAAGATCGATTGAGATGGGAGGTTTTAAAAATATAATCAATTTAAAAAAAATCAATTTTTTTTTATAGTGATGGTGACTTGGTGAGATGGAGATGGTGACCAACATAGGACTTATCTTCCTAGAGCGTCTCAGTTAGAGATGGCGACTGTTTAGGGCGGTGTGTTTAGGGTTTGTTGAGAGATAGATGTGGTCGATGTTGGAAAAATGAAGATGGGCAAGAATATCATTTACCTATTGCTAGCATGAGGGTACCACAACAATTCGAGAATAATCAGAAGCTATGGAAGGGATACGACACCAAAAAGGGGTTTGTTAATAACCTGCAAAAAATACTCAATTTTTACCTGGTAACCTGCAACAAAAAAGAAAAAGAAATCAAAATTCGTGAACCTGCCTTGCTTCAAAATACATACCAGACTCGCTGGAGTCTTGAAATCATTGCAACAAAAAAGAAAAATAAATTAAAATTCGTGAACCTACCATGCTTTAAAACACATACCAGACTCGCTGGAATCTTGAAATCATCCACCCGACTTCTCCGGATCTCCGAAAACCTTCATCACAACGACAAAAATAAGAAAACAAACAATTATCTTATAACCAAAAAAACAACAGAACATATGTTTAATTGAAAAAACATCTGATTTGGTGATAAAGAGATTGGGGAAGGATTCTTTTATGCAGAGAGGTGATTGACTGTGGCGTTAGCGATCATGGAGAGAGAGAGAGAGAGTGAGAGAAAGAGGGAGAGATAGAGAGAGAAAGAGAGAGTGAGTGAGAGAGAGAGAGAGAGAGAAGAATGGAGAAGATGGATAGTATTTGACCGGAAGCAACTCGATCAGATATCTAATATACTGTTCTACAATCAGTTTTCCCAGGAGGTGTATGGGCGAGATATGAATGAAGGGGAGGGGTAATCTACAAATATTTGCCCGATATCTCAGCATATTA